GGTCCTCGTTATGCCAGCTGGCTTGATACACATGGTTGAAACGCTCTCAAAGTCAGTAGATTTGGGTGTCAATTTTGTCCATCGTGAACACCTTCTTACGGCTGCCAGAGTTTTCTTCAGCAGCTGCTATCCTGATTTTCAGATGTTGGCTCTGAATGAGTTTATGGTGCATCTGTGGCATCAAAGAGTATACTGGTTCATTTTTGTCGAAATAAACAAAAATAGATAATGATACTTTTATAAACCAGAGACACGATACCGCCACAAGAATAAGAAGATCTGGAGGAAGTCTGGAGAATTCAGAAGGCGCACGACAAAGCCTTAGGTGACCACCTCGCCAGGATAATTTGCGCTAGTATTTCTGTTCGAATTTCATCCCAGATACTGAAATGATTACTTCCGTATCCCGAATACGGCATCCAGTTTAATTGCATATACTGAAATTCTCAATTGAACCCAATAATTGAGTTTTGTCATTCCGTATACTGAAATGCTCAATTCATCCCAAAAAATGACGATTGCTCAGTTTAATCGCTCATGCTAAAATAAGATAACTATGTGTTTTAAGCCAACAAATGAGGAAAGGCTGGCAGATAAAGAAGAGATGGACTGTCTCGTCCAACACCATCGTGGGTCATGCGGAGCATTGCCAGTGGGAGCATTGCCCGCCCTAATTGCAGTCAAAAGGGCCTGAAGACTTTGTGATACTGAATTCGAATATTATTTAAGGTGTACAGTTTTATTTAAACGAAGTCTAGAGTTATTAATTGACATTTTGAAACAGTGTTTTTTTGATCGATTTTGTCATCCTCATTTTTATCAAGCAGTCTGAGTAACTATCTGAATTTTTCATTTTCAGAAAATATGGTATCCTCATTATCAGTGAACAAAGTTTCAGAAATCGTCAGCGCTTCTGTTAACGAAACCCAAGAAATATGACCGATCTGTTGTGAAGAGGGGAGACCCTTACATCAGATCCTTGAGGGGGAGGTGGCAAATAAGCTGCGCTTGGCTTAATGGCGAAAGGTGACGGATGAGTTGCATCCAAAGTGCCCGCTCTTTCGACAGGACTTGGAGCCGCTCAGTCGGTTTTCCAAAGTTTTCCACGGTTTTTCACACAACTATTGCTTTGGATCGTGTAAATTGTTACATTAACTAAAACTGGTGCCATGTGAACAACCCCTCCTTTTCACATTTGACCACTTACTCAAATTTTTCCAATCTAAACCACAAAAGAACACCCATCCCTTCCTCCGTATCAATCAAGTTTTAACTTGGTTTATCTTCTCTGACGATGACACGACAGACGAGGACGACGAGGCACATGGAGGCGAGGATGACGAGGTAGAGGTGGAAACCGTGCTGCCCTTCCGGGACCCGGAACGGAGCCGGAACGGGAGCAGCTGATGAGTGTCTCTGACTTTGATCTGTTCTCGAGCAGTGGCGAGGAGGAGAGCACCTCCTTGGTCGCTCTTGCATTCGCACACGTGCGCGTGCTGGGTGGTGGTCGCGGGCACGCTATACTATATCAACTCATCCAGCGTTGACGCCTCTGATGACACTCTGCCCTATAATTGGGCAAGCGGGCGGGGCCGCAGTCACGGACGAGCAGCGCTGTCGGTCGCTGGGAATGCTAATCTGGGTCGAGGCCGCGGTCGAGGAACCAGAACCGCTGGTCATCCCAGCCTGCGGCCGGATTCTCCCCGTAAAGGTTCAAAATATATTTAAAAAATTTTTACCGGATTCTCCCCGTAAAGGTTCAAAGTGTATTAATAAAAAATTTAATTGGTTTATTAGTAAACGGTTTCTTAGTGCAAATGCCGCCGTAGTGAAAACAATCGCCGTAGTGAAAACAATCGCCCGACTAAAACAGTAAGCAAATGCCCGACCGTATGCTATCAGTACCCTTTTTCCCTTTTTAAACTTTTATTGGTGCTATACATGGTCATTTAAACTAATTAAATTTTTTAATGATAGTTATGGAATCAAAATTCCCAAGTATTTCTTTTTGGTAATGGAATATTGGCTTTAACTGATGCTAGTTGTTTTTGTTTTTCGGGTCCACTCGCGTCTTTTTTTATGTTCCCAAATGATTAATTTTTTGGCTTTAACTAAACCGAGGATAGATTTTCACACGGATAACGGGCTCAACAGGATCAAAATGTGGTGGTCTTCTCGTTTCTTAAAAATTATAGAAATGTATCTTCAATCCTCATTTTATTAACTCACTGTTCATACTTCTTTTTTTCTTCAATAACCATAACAGAATTTGGCGGTCTAATATCAGAGTTTCAAGTGATCGCTTCAGTGGTGAGAACCTTGAATCTAACGGTTTATTTTCTTTCGCAAGGTCATACAGATCACATGGTGGGCCTTAACAAGCCGGAGCTCTTCGAAAGGATCAAACACTATAACATTAAAACTTTTTGTCATAAAGTTTTGGCTACTTAATTGATTGCATTGCCGCTTTATATTCATTTAAATCCATATAAAATACGCTGGATTCAGATCATGGGTTAACCTTCAATGTTCCATCGGACGGGGACCAGACTCATACCCTAACTTTCACTCTTATGTCCAGATTCCTAACTAACTCCATACCCTAACTTTCACTCTTACGGTCACTGTCCAGATTCAATAAAATTTTTACTAGTTTCCAAAGAAGAATCTGTCCTTATTACCGTCGATTTCAGATGGCAAGTTGGTCATACGAAGCAAATAAATCATCTGATCGACAATTTACTAGAGGCTGCTGTTCACAACTTTGATAACCTTACATCGACACAACGTTTTGCAAAACAGATTACAATTTATTACCTTGTAGAGAAATCTGTTTTTCAGCCATGTTTCAAGCCGGGTCCTCATGGCTCTGTTCATTTCAAAATAATGTGACTCATTTTGTTACACATTGCACGGTTATGAGTTTTTGATGAAAGAGCTTGCACTTAGATTCAACACTAAAGTTCACGTTTCATTATGTCAGTATCAACTTTACCAGTTTGTTCCGTCAATTCAAATTGGCTCACTTTAGATGGCGAAAGTACCAAAAACCCATTTCTCCAAGCCGTCGTCTGTCTGCGAACTTAAAACAGCCTTGCAAGCCGGGCATTTCAAGTCCAGAAGTGCCTACAATCATTCCAACGCAATGTTCTTCACTAAATACGATAAAATGCCCGGAAATTTGTTGAAAGCAAGGTCTGACAGAAATTTTTGTTGCTGTTATTCTTTGCACTCTTCAGCTTCCGAAATAATTGATTTCCCATCGAGTCTGCAATTCGAAAGTATTACACCCTTCGTTTGTCCGGATCAAGATACTCCACTTGACTCTGTGAACGCTTTTATTATAAAGAAGCTCAAACATCGGAACCCAAACCCGTCAAACGATGCGACAACAAAGTTGTGGAAAAAGAGAATTAATTTCAATGAGAGAGGTAAACGCAAATTTTATCTGAAGAAAATTTCAACAAACACACCAGAGTACGAATACCATAGGGAGCCATTGAGACAATAGAGACGCTTTGCCGAACGTAGAGGTTTCGAGGGAAAAGATTCAGAAACAGTCGAAACAGTCAAAAATAAAGAAGAAATTTTTATCCAATTGCTCAACAGTGTTTAAAAACAATATTTTACTTTTCGTACTGTTTTTTTACCGCTTGTATAAATTTTTCCTTTCAGTTTTCATAAAAAGAATATATTTGGATCCAATTTTCAGAGGTTGTTTCAAGTCAGCTTTCAAAAAATACAATGGAGCCGTCCTTTTTTCGTCTAAAACAATGAACCATCTTATCTCAAATACTTAGGAGTGCGATGATGATTTCTGAACCAACTGAAACATCTCATCTCAAATACTGATGATGATTACTTAACCAACTGAACCATCTCTTCTCAATTACTGATGAGTGACTTAGCTGCCATTTCAAACTGAACCATCTCATCTCAAATACTGATGATGATTTCTTAACCATATAATTGAACCATCTCATCTCATTTACTGATGAGCGACTTAACTCTCCCCATTTCAAGCATGAACTGCCATTTCAAACCTTGGACCGCTTTTTCAAACCCATTTCAAATCATCACAAATGGCTTTCGATGATTGTTTTTTTCCGATCCCAAAAAATCATCAGATAAAGATAAAGAAAAGTTTAACATCCACATTTATGCATTCAGGTGACAAATGGATAAGTCCCTGCTTTCAAATTGCGCGTTGCTATTGATAATAAATCAAATATTCTGCCTTTAGCTTTTAATTAAACATATGCAAGTTCAGTAATAAACAAAAATGCGGAATCCACTAACGTTTTGCGGAATCCACGTACATTTGTGGATTCCGCATGCAAATTTTGCGATTCCACTTACAATTGCGGATTCTACTTACACTTTGTGGATTCCACTTACATTTCGCGGAATCCACTTACAGTTTCGGAATCCAGAACAACTAGCTATATTTGCTTATTGAGGATTCCGCAACAAAATAAATGTGCCCACAAAATTCACGTTACAGGTATTTGTACGCGAATCCGCTCAAATTTTGTTAGTGGAATCTATTTACATTTTGGAACAATTTTAAAGACTTGTCTCTGGAATCCAGGAACATACAGACACAAAACTGTGCGGCTATCCAGCGCACATTTTGGCCTGGTAATGTTTTCTTGAAATTGCTGCGTTGCTGGAAAAAAGATTTTTGTTATTTATTGTGTAGCAAAAGTTTTTTTTCCGTGTTTGCACATTGTTGTCATTGTTGTTAAATAGAGCAGATCTGTGAGAGCAAATGCAAAAAGCAGGTCAAAATAATTCATTTTTATGGTGTCTATATGCTTAAAGTGTACATAAAAATAGCTAGCTAGCTAGCTTTAACAATCAAGTTTGTTCAGTTAACGTTTGTACATAAAAAATAGCTAGCTTTAAAAACCAAGTTTTGTTCAAAAGTCAGAACAACTTGATTACTGTCATGGTTATCTTGGTGTTTAAAACGCCAGAATACCGAGCCAGCATAATTTCATCGTGGTCAAACAAACAGCTGAATTACAATAATGCGAATAAAAATTATTAAATTGCATTACCCGTCCATAAGGCATGTGCGAAAAACAAGATAAAATAATGCCGTTGAAACGCTGAGCTTACACAACTAATCAATAGCTTGCATTCAAACTTAGTTGGTTTTAAAAATTAGAAAGATTGATTAATGCAACTCATACCTTGGTTCTCTTATTGAATTCGTCAAAGTACCAGGTAAGCTTGTTGCCATCGCGATAAAACAACAACTAAATCATTTACAGAAGGAATTTAAGAAAAAATTACTGACCAGATAATTTTTATTTGATATACAGAAATGTCAACATATACAGAAAAAACGACAAAAATTGGCAATAAAATTAATGGCGTTTCAATGGTGTTTCATACTCTTTTTTATTAGAAGTTTCAAATGTATCTGCGCAGATCATGAAACCGAGATTTTTGAGTGTGTCGATATAATTCAAAACTCATTACGTTCAAGTATTCATTCAAAATAAGCAGGCTATTTGTTTCTCTGAGACACATCAGTTCATGGATGCTTAACAGATACCGATTTTTGTTTATTATAACGACACTAAATAGTACCTACCAATCAACCAAGTTTTGAAATTTACGCAATTTTTTAATTTTCCAAAAAATGCCCAAATTACAACATTTTGTTCGCATTGCGCAAATTTTTTGCCGAGAACCATTTATTGAATATTTGAAGATAGCTCAGAAAGTGCATTTGGTCAACCTCATTTATCTATCAGCCCTCTTGAAAATTGATAATTGCGTCCTTTTTCATCTGTGAAACATATCAAATAACTGATTTCGGGTCTACTTGGTTATACTCCCCCTAAATGGGTATATTTGGCAATTCAAATTTCGAGTTGAAATTGAAAGCGCGAAAGCGAGTGAAACAAACAATTAAATACCACTCGCGTGCAACTAGCAGCTGCTCAAAATTTTGAAGTGCCAAATTTTGTTTATCCATTTATACGAAAAATGTTCAATTTTCTAGTTCATTTTTTATGACCAATAAATGAAGCAAGCGGGCAGACTTATTTTTGTTCCGACTTGCGAATAATTGTGCTCGCAGTTGGGTTTTTCTTCAGACATTCGACTTTTTAACTAGCCATTTTTGACAGAAATTCTTAGCATCATTCAAAAAGTATTGTTGTTTTGAGCTCAATTTTGAAAAGATATTTCTCATGTGATCACTTCTTGCAAAATTATTGGGATTTAAAGATGGCTACTTTGACCAAATTGTGGCAATGAACGCGCGATATATTTCGCGATGTTAAAACGAAAGTGGAGATTCAACCCCTCATAGAAATCGTTCCAAATTGGTTAAGAGAAGCTGATTTGCCACTTTTGATTTTTTGCTAGGAGCAAAATTTATCATTTTGTACTTTATTGGGAGATTAATTTCACAAAATGGTTCACAAGCGTGTGGGGGATAATTTTCACAAAAAAAACTCAAATTGAAAAAAAAAATTTGATTTTTTAACATTTAATTTTTTCATGTTAATACTGCTCCACAGATTTTGAAAAACGTTTCTAACATTTAGAATTTTACCGAATCAAACCAGAATCAGACATAAGAAAAACCTCGAAATGGATTGGGTGATAAGTCAAATTAAAATTCTTTCAGTCATGACTCCAGCAACATAAAAAATTTCGGGTCTTTTTACTTATTCCGCCCAAAAATCAATAATTCAACGTCTTGAAATTAAACTATTTTGCTTCAATTTGATTGGCTGGAAATAGCCAATCAAATTCAGCATTGTCTCAAAATGTTCTGTTCAGATCTTCAGGTCCTAGGAATGGATATAGAATGTTTGGTAATATATTTTAAATACGCTAAAAAATTTTAACAAAAAAACACACAGAAAGTAGCTCCAAGAAAAAAGACCACTTCAAATTTGGCCTAGTTAGGATTCGGCTTAATAATACAGTGATCGGATTTGTTTTAAGCAAACCAACCAGTGCTATCAGTGTTTTTTTTCTCTGCATTTTTACATTAAAAATTCTTAATAGCAAATTTGGTCGGAATAAATAAAAAAACCCAAATTTTCTCGAAATCGGTTAGAAATTTGTGATTTTTAGCTTTTTAGTGCAAAGGCTTATAATAGCGTAATAAGCATTTTAAAAGTCCAACATTTTTCAAAGTTCCTTCTGGCATATTCCCTCAACTTTTTTTGGGTTTAATTAAAATGTCTAATGAAAAACAGAAGACAATAAAGCTAAGGAACGACTTGGCATAGAGTGGACTGGTAAAAGTAGAATGAAATATAGTAGAGCATTGTCTAAAATAGAATGACATGACATAGACTGATTCGACTGAATCTTGCTACTTCTTTTTAAGGTTTTTGAATTAAAGTGAGACAACTATGTGTCAACACTGAATCTAAAAGTAAAAACGAAAAGGCCCTTTGCGGACTTTAAAAAGTCCATCTACAAATTTTTGATCCAAGATCACTTGAATTGACATCCAACATACATCGCTAAAATTGGAAACCTCTAGTATATATGTTCAAACATAACAGTGAAATTTTTATTGTCTTTGGGCACCAAATGTTGAAGAAAAGTTTTACTTCAATTCAATAACCTGATAGGTTGTCCTAATAATTAGCTTACTCATTTAAATTCTTTTTAGTACAGTGCTGATTTAAATTAACCGGACAAAACGCATTAAACTTGAAATTTAAAACCCGTTTTTCTCAAATTGGGTTCAGTTTAGGTGAAAACTTATGAAGACGAAATTTGCTTAAAGTTTTAGCAGAAATAATATGGTGTAAACTGTTTTGCGAATTTCGGGCCCGAAATTTTACTCCAAAAATGGGTCATTTTGGCTTTTCTTAGTGAATTAAAAATTACGCCAAAAATACCCAGTCGATCACAGACATAATTATATCAAAGTGAGACCCTTACGTAGTTCAACAAACTTTGTTAAAACTTACAAAAGATAGATTTTGTTCCTTGTAACAAATCAATTATGGCAAATAAGCTTCGTTCAACCAATTTGGAACGGTTTATAAGACGGATTAAATCTCCGCTTACGCGTTAATAGCGCGAATTATATCGCGCGTTAATTGTCCCAAATTGGTCAAATTGGCCAAAATGGCTATCTTTAAAACCTCATAACTTAACAAAAATTGATCACATGTGAAATATTTTTTCAGATTCAAGCTTAGGACAACAATACTTTTCGAATGATATAAAAAAGTTCCGTCAAAAATGGCTAGTTAAAAAGTCGAAATTTGTCTGAAGAAAAAAACCCACCCCGAGCACAAATATTCCGTTACTTTCGTATCGAAAGTCGGAACAATAAAATATTTTTTTTTTAAAAAAGGCAACTGAACTAAAATGGAAACTCTCAATTGAATTATAGTTAATACTGCTAAAGTATTATTGAAATTCTAGAAATCAAGTTATGTTACAAATAATTATGTGGGAGGTTAGTCACTCGCTTTTGTAATCACTGAGAAATGTTTCAATGTTTATTGGTATTGGAATCACGGCCAATGGGGCTTTTATATGAACGCATGAGTTCTTTTTGGTGTAGTCAAAATTGAGAAAAAAATGTGATTAGCGCTTAGTTCTTTCCCTGTTGTTTCCGGTGCGGGACAATTGAATTTTCTTAGAAAGGTGTTGAACGGATAGTTTTCTTTTGCTCACACGCTCTACTCATAACAAAGAGGGCTTTGGAGGAAGATTAAAGCTATGTGATTAAAAAAGATGTCGTAAAATAGCGATTCTTTGGTTGTCACGACGAGTTTCAATTTCGAATATTTGTTGTTTTTTTTGTTTCATATACATTCAATGATATTGTATGTTTGACTTCATATGCTCGAACAAATGCTTCAAAAGTTTAAATGATGGTTTATTCTAAATAGCGATTCTTTGGTTGTCACGACGAGTTTCAATTTCGAATATTTGTTGTTTTTTTTGTTTCATATACATTCAATGATATTGTATGTTTGACTTCATTTGCTCGAACAAATGCTTCAAAAGTTTAAATGATGGTTTATTCTAAATAGCGATTCTTTGGTTGTCACGACGAGTTTCAATTTCGAATATTTGTTGTTTTTCTGTTTCATATACATTCAATGATATTGTATGTTTGACTTCATTTGCTCGAATAAATGCTTTAAAAGTTTAAATGATGGTTTATTCTAAATTGAAACATTTTATCTGATTATGCAACACACATTGAAATGGAGAATTTTGTTGTTTCAGTGTTTTGTGGAACCATGTTCAGTTAACATCGACAGCAATAAACTGACGAATGAATGGCTGCTTCTGACTGCTTCCAGACACTCCAGTATGTCGTTCCAGGTGGGTGTTCCGATATTAATGATTTCAGGTCTATGTGTGACTGGTACATGAACATATTTTTTCCCGATTGGTTGGAAAAAAATACGCCCAAAGGAGTTTACCTGGTACCTCCTCTACCTCTATCAATGCCTCCTAACCCACCTGAGGGATCTTCAGGGGGTCAAAAATCCGACAATGTCGGATACAAACAGTACATTAATTTCAGAACAGGACAAAAATCGAAAACCGAAGAATTTAATTTCGTGCAAAAAATCCAAAAATACGCCGTAGAAAATGAATTGCCAATGTTCATTTTTCACGGACTTGCTGTTGACAAATCGCAATGGGACATGATTTTAACAGTTGCGGAACATGAAATGCCTTCCGAATGCCTGGACGATTTGCGAAATAGTTCTAAAATTAAACTCAACCATAAAGGTTTCCCCGAAAACTTAGAGATTGATTGCATGACTATTGACCCAAAAAATGGAGTTGTCTTGTGGGAGATCAAAAGTCGCAGTTATCAAGGTCAAGCGACGAAAGGTTTGAAAAAAATCAATCAGGCCCTCGAACAGCTGAACAGAGACGAATTATTTGTTTCTTGGATTTCACAGCATTTCTGCTCTTCGAGTCATGCTGTTATAACAAAAAAAAATGTTGTCTTACCTGAAGACGAAATCTCAGAAGATAAAAACCTTGAGTTTGAAAAATTTCGCCAATCTTACAAAGTTCTAGATGCTTCGATACTGCGAACGTGGGAGAGTTTTTCGAATTGGTTTCGCTCCGATATCGAATCTGAAATTCCCAGTAATTCGGAACAAACATACAAAACACTTGTTCCCATAATGGTAGGCATAAGCGTTTCGGTTTCAGTAAAATGCGAGAACACAGCTGAAGTTCGACCAACAAAAACTTATTTTGAAAATCTTTCTCATGCTAAAGCAGTGCATAAACTGGATTCAGAAATTTCTGAACAAAAGTTATCGCGAGACAAAAAGCCGTTCAGCGACCTGATTCCGGCATCTGAGCTATCATTCGCAAAAACCTCAAAGTCTTCGAAGCTTCTTTTCTTGACCCCACGGCAACAAGATGTCTTAAGTTCTTCCAATAACGGAATGAAGCTGATAATAGGACCGGCAGGGACAGGAAAAACTATTTTGACGCTTCATAAAATCATTAATTTGTGTAAAACACAACCGGAAGACAAAATACTTCTGCTCTGCAGCGGAAAATTTATCGAGTCATACTGTAAAATGCTAGAGGACAACGAAATTTCATGTGAAAGGCTAATGATGGATGGTCGGTGTAATAAGGAGCAGAAAATTTGGAAACGCGAATATTTGACACGCAAGGATTACCGACCTTACAAAAGCAAAGTCTTCGAATTTGTGTACGAACCGCTATCTTCAGATCTTCAAACGAAACAGAGCATCAACACAAAAGCATTTGGTCAAAAGCAAGTCATCATTGGGGAAACGACAGCTTTTCTAAACTCCCTAAATGAAAAGGCTAAACAGTTTGTTTTGAAAAAAACTAAAAAAACTAATGTTTCAGAAGACTATCGATCAGAGACATCACGCTGGGTTATGAAAACACATTTGGTCATTGATGATTGTGATTTACCCGTAATTTGTGAGAGCCAATTGAACCCCTTAAGTCTTTTAACCAGCGATCAATTTCTTACCTGGTTAGTTACTGACATTCACCAATCAAATAAAACACTGATGTCGAACATAACGCACATCAAAAAATTGAGGTCGTCAAAAAGTGTTGAAGTTTTTATTCTCGAAGAAGTTCTACGAAACACGGTTCAAATTAACCAAATGACCCGCCGACTCGTTGAATACATGAATCGCAGTCTAGAAGACGACGGGCACGTTTACCCTGGTACTTTAATAGATGTAAAGCAAGGATCTAATTTCCAGGGACCTCCGATAACTATTTTTGAGCTTAAAAAAAACATTGCATCTCGACAAACTTACCCAACTAAACTTATAGCGTTCCTTCTATGTCAAATGATGAAAGAAGGAATGCAAGCTGGTGACATTCATTTTTTGACATCTGGTGACGGTGCAAATTTTTTTAAATGGTTGGGGAAAACCATTCGCCTGGAGTATCCCGAGCTTTTGTCGCAACTGGGAGTTAACGATGAAACAGAAGTTGACTGGTCCAGTTTCTGTTCGCAGATTTATATAACAAAGTCATCCGAATGGGAAAGGGTTGTTATTGACGGTCGATTCGATGAAGAAAATCATCTTAATTCGATTAATTATAGTAAATTCGATGAATCTGATATGGTATCGAAATTTGAGTTTAGAAGACCAAAAATTATAAGCAACCGATTGAAGCTGAACTGAATCAAAAGAACTGAATTTAAAAAAATCAGATTTCAGAAATGTTTTACTGGAGTTTTCATGTAAGATTTGAGTTACATTTAAAAAAAATTACTGAATTATTTAGAAATTGGGCAATTTGCTTACCAAAGAACCCACCTGCAATTTTGTACAATAAAATGTCTTGTTATCATAGTCCGATTGTTATGAAAAATTGGCTTTCCGACTATTTTTGACATTTAACGTTTTCGTATTTGCAGTACTCGGTACACTAAAAAAATCATGCTTACGCGATTTGGGAGAAGAAGAGACTGATTCTTAAGAAGACATATCTTTTGGATGACTTCAAATTCAGTGATATATCCCGGTGAGAGATATTAAAAATGGGTAGGAACTTTTTATTTGGGTTTGTTTTGTTTTTTTATGCAAAATAAGGAACCACAAACAACCATCGGATTGGGTTGAGTGAGATATCAAATTGAAGCCCTCCCAGTCGTGATTCGAGTGTCATTAAAAATTTTTCAGATTTTTGAGCTCTACCTAATTTCGATCGATCAAAGGGAGTTAAGCGAAGATAATGTTCGTTAATATGTATGTGGCTTTAGCTGAGAAAAACCTATTTTTTAATAAAATTAGATGTAAAAGCTTATTTGGTGTTTCTTTTGAGAGAAATTTTGTTTTAAAAACTTGAAAAATTGTGCAAAAAATTGGAAAAACTTGAAGTTTAGGTTTTTAAAATGTTGTCAACTGTTGTCGATACGGCCTTATTTGCTAACTTGCAGCGCTTCTATAAAGTTCATTAATCTCACCTTGTACAAGAATCGATCATAACTTGGCGAAACTAATAATTTGAAGATATTTTTTGTAGTTTTTGTGAAAGTGGTCGAAACATTCTAGGCTACTTCTACAGCAACTGGCTATTTTTTCTAAAAACTGGAAACCGTTTCCCGTTTCTTCTGAAAAAAATCATTAGCAACATCTGTACTTGCAATATGAGCGGCAATGACATGATCCCTAAAAACAGAACAAGACTGGGCGTATCAGGGTGAAGCCCTGAATGTTCCGACAGCCTTTTCAGGTCTGTGGAGCAGTAATAACAAGAAATTCTTGTGAAAATCATCTCCCCACACGCCAATTAAAGTATAAAATGATAAATTTTGCTCCTAGAAAAAAAATCAATTATGGCAAATTAGCTTCCTTCGACCAGTTTGGAGCGATTTCTGAAACGGATTAAATCTCCGCTTGCGCTTTCATGACTCGAAATAAATTGCGCGTATATTGTCCCAAAATGATCAAAAAGCAATGTGTACACCCCCATATTTTAACGAAAAATGATCACAGGCACTAGTGGATTTAGGGGGGGGGGGGCGGGGGGTGCGGACGCTTTACTCAGGGATTCGACTACCTGCCGACCCAAAGTGTTCCCCCTTTGAACTATTTTGAGATATCCATTTTTGGCTGACGGACTCCAAGTTTTTCTAAAGGCACCTTCGGCGCCAATAAATACTAATTTTTAGGCGGGAGCGCGCGCCGAAAAAAAATTTTTTGGTCAAAAATTTTTTAAAAGTGCCTAAAAACGCCACTTTTTGGCCTTTTTTTTAAAAATTTGCCTGCGGCGCAATTTGGTCGACCTAAAAAAAAGATCGACAAAGTTTTCAAAAAAATTCCGTCAAAAATGACTAGGTTAAAGGTCGAAATTTGTCTGAAGAAGAATGTACCACCCCAAGCACAAATATTCCGTCACTTTTGTAACGAAATTCGGAACAAAAAGTAGTGGAACAATAATACAATAAACTAATGAAAACTTCGCGAGCGTAGTCTATTAAAAGCGTAGTCACTTGATTCCACCACTATTTGGTCTTCTTGCGAGCTGTACAACTCAATTAGATAAACATCTTATATCTGGCATGTACACGCGCACGATCTCAACTTTACATTATTGCCCATCCAACGTTTAGCGACCTGTTGTCAAAGAAACTTGGTATGCCGATGGAAAATCTGATAGTTCAGAAATACGAATGGTGCGAAAAACACAACGAATTGAAAAGGAGCAATGATGGAAGTGATTCAGAAGAAGAAATCGAGAGAGGTGGAAAGAAGTTCAAATTTTTTTCTAATTGAATCAGAAGCAGAATATGAGAACTGCCAATCCAGCTCGGCTTCAGATCGATGATAAAACCCTACAAAGTTTCATAAAGCAGAGAAAACAGATTTTTAACAGTCGCTGTAAAATACTGCTTATAAAGTATTTCGTTGGTAGTTAGACTGATTAACGTTAGTTATTTTGATCAAAGGTTTCTTAACATGTTTATATGCTGTTAGAATTCAGCCTGCTAATTGAAGCAAAATAGCTAAAATTTGTGAAATATAAAAAGTTTTATTTTAACATTCGAAATAGGTCAGTTAAACTCCATGACTAAATTAGATTAATGTAATTTGGTGTTAAAATATATTTAAAAAAAACATGTTTGAAATAAACAGCGGTAAATAAACTCAGATTTTGATTAAACGAAAGTTTTGAAATCATTTGGGGGAGGCCAGAAGGTCATTTGATTTGTTTATTGACACTGAAAAGGCAAAGCATTTAAAAACTGAATCAAGAAATTTTTTGTTCTGTTTTTTTTTTACAGTTCAATGAAATTCCGTGACTTTGTAACACACGTGAGCATGTCTAAAACAGTTTTCGTATGACTGCTACTTGTCATTTCTTAATTTACTCTGTATCATCACTTCGTTTTCATTTAAATCTAATCTTTGACTCATATCGTTTTAGTTACGAGCATCGCTTTGATCTGAAGTTGTCTATTTTTAATTGGTTGTCTCTTTGTTCATACCGGTGTTACAATTCATTTAGAAATACCCTTTCAATTTAACGCTTTTGACATTTCAACCCTGTCAATATTAAAAAGTTATCTTTTGAATATTTATGTATGGTTTAATTGCAATTTGATTTTGTTGAAGTGTCAATCAAACTCAGAAAAAGTCTCACGTTATGGGCAATATGGGCTTTTTTATGTTTTTGTGTAAATTCGCTGAATAATCTGAATTGAGCTGTTTCATTTGCAAATAATTTGTTTATTTCAGTTATTCTGATCTCGAATAAACTAAACTTTTTAACAAATGGATAATTTAGAAAATTAGCAGTATATCTAGATAGATTTCGATAGTTTGTAAAAACAACAAATTTGCTTTTCAGATTTTCTGGAAACAAAATTTAGTTTAGTAATAAATATAGTTATAATTTGAAATCCGCATTTTGTCTTCGGTACGTTCCGCGTACGTATGTTATAAGAGACTCCATTTTCCCGAACTAACTTTTTTTGTTATAAATAAAAAAAAGTTCTCGCAAGCAACAAATTTATACTACCAAAAAACAGAATGCGTTTACTACACAAACGAATTTGGAGCAAACAAAGACGAAAACTGAAAAAAAGGAAACATGGTTTTCAGCACCATAAGAGAGTTATCTTGCAAAATTCTTTGAAAGACGATGCATCTCTTAGATATATTTCGCAAAATTCTAACAACACATTAACGGATCTTGCAAGAAAATCAAATTTGCAGATTCAAGTAAGATCTTAAAAGACATAACTTTTAGTGAGAAAAAAAACAGCTTTACGCGCTACAGGGTTTATCGTTCGAGGAAGAAAGAAGCAATTTTAGCTTCTTGTATATACATACAACCCGCTAGTTGACTGCCCCCCAAAAAGCTATATTGTTTCTTTACAACAAAATTTTCATCTTAAGACTAGCTTCAAGTTTTGATGTTCAATTCATACCGTAACCTCTCAAAAAAGAAAAAACAGTTTACAAAGAAAAATAGAAAAATGAAAGAAATTAAAGATCAATAGCGGATTTAGGGGAGTCAGGATGCGACCACCTACCGACCCAAAGGACCCCCTTTTGTACTATTTTGGCTGACTGACTGTAAAATTTTTCCAAATGCGCTTTTGGCGCCAATCTATACTAATTTTGAAAGGGGAGCGCGCGCCGAAATAATGCAATTTTTAGTCTAAATTTTCCAAAAAGTGCCTAAAAACACCATTTTTAACATTTTTTTCTGTTCTACTTCTGTGCTATTTCTACAGCAACCGGCTATCTTTTTTTAAAAACTGGACATAAATTGCGCGTTTACTGTCCCAAAATTGCCAAAAAACAATGTTTACACCATCATAATTTTACAAAAAATGATCATACGTGAAATATCTTTTCAAGTTCAATCTCAGGACAACTTTAGCTTTCGAAAGATAAAAAACATTCCGTCAAAAAAGGCTAGTTGACAACTCAAAGTTTGTCTGAAGAAGAATGTACCACCCCCAAGCACAAATATTTTGTTACTTTCGTTACGAAGGTCGGAACAAAAAGTATTGGAACAATAATACAATAAACTAATGATAACTTCGAGAGCCGAAAATATTAAGAGTATGTAACTTGATTCCACCAGTATTTGGTCTTTTTGCAATCTGTATAACTCAAATAGCTGTATAACTATTTTATTTGTTACAATCAAAAATGGTTCTTGCAAGCAACAAATATATAGTTTTTTCTTTGTACAGGTTCTTCAACTAAGCATTTAGGGTAGGTGCTTTTTGTGCATACTCGACTCAAAAGTGTTTTTTCATAAAAACGGAATTATAAGTACTGCATATTTTAAAAATTTTGCTATTTTGACCGGTTTGATATTAAAAGCTATCAGTCAGTTAGTCGTGGGCTATACTGTCTTCCAGTACCAGTTTTTGCTTGTTTTGACCGGTCTTTGAATTTTTTTCATGATGACCTCCATGCTAGTTGACTATCCTTATATGGGACCATGCCTTGAACGCTATGTATTATGCAGCTAGGATGATAAAACTTCGAGGTTAAGCGTAGAATACACCAGTGTTCATGATGTTAGCACCATGAGTACGGTTAAAATAAGTTTAGTCAGGTTTTTAAGTCAATTTTTGTTGTTACAGGTCTTTTTTTTAATGAGTATATATCAAGTTTTTAGGAAAACTTTTGATAAAGATGACGTATTTAAGTGCGAATAGTATCATTTTTTTGGTCATGAGCAGGGCATTCTCCTAGTACCCGAGTTTATTTGTTTTGGTACGTATTTAGGAAAAAAATATGCAAATTTATTAGAGAAACGTTAAAACCAGTTGAAGGGCTCGATAAAAGATGTGATATCTCATTGTAGATTAAAAATAGGATAATAAAACTTTGAGATTAAGCGCGATTTACAACATAATTGATGATGTTAATATCGGATTTACTGTTAAAGTGTTTTTTAAGTCAATTTTTTGGTCATTTTTTGTTGTTAAAGGACTTTTTTTAATGAGTACACATCAGTTTTTTACGGAGAACTCGTCGTACCTAATGAACAAAGAAAATTTGCGACGGACCGGCTACTTTTTTCATTTGTTTGCGAACCCATTAGAACACCGACTGCAATAATTGACAGAACATTCATCCCTCAGTCTGGAGGCAAGCAGACCATCAACTTATACTGTGGAATAAATGAAATCATGAAACAAGACTGCTGGTATCAGGTCGAAGCCCTCAATGTTACGACTGCCTTTTAAGGCCTATGGAGCAGTAATATCATTAGGAAAGTAAATGTAATGAAATGAAATAAAAAAACGAAATTTTATAAAAATTATTACTCCACACGCCATATAAAGTACGAAGTGATAGATTTTGCTCCTAGTAACAAATCTTTTATGGCAGGTAAGCTTTTGTCAGACACTTGGAACTATTTCTAACACGAATTAAATCTCCACTTAAGCGTTAATAACACAAAACTTATTTCGCGTAAATTGTCCCAAATTGGCCTAAATGGCAATCTTTAAACCCCCATACCTTTATTAAAATAATGACAGGCGAAGTATTTTCTTCAAGTCTAAGCCCAGGACAACAATAACTTTTGACTATAGCTAAAAATTCAGTCAAACATGGCTAGTTAAAAATTACAAATTTCTTTGTTCGGATCATCTGGCACCTCGTAAAAATGTCTTGCCTTTTTATGAAACAAATCCACGTCGAGGTGCCCCTTCTATGTTTTCTGACCATGCTCGACTGTTTTAGTATCTTTCGACCATGCTCGACAAAACTCGGTCTGTTTCGATTGTGCCCGACCGAAGCAAGATATATTTCGACCATGATCGCGGTATGTTTTGACCAAGCTCGACTGTGCTCGAGGTATGTTTCGAAATTGTGCAATGTTTAGAAATTGATAAATGACCTGGAAAAAATGTATATTTGCTAAACTTTGAAAGTTTCAAGATAATGATATTCATCATTCCAACTAAAAATTTAGTCTAAGATAGAAATTCAGATCTAAAACAGCATTATACAGTTATGAGGTTGAGAAAATCCTTTAAAGCTTTTCAGTAAAGTATTTATGGTATTAATTCAGCTTCGGATTATTGAACATTCGTTGAAACGATACATTTTTCCATCTGAAATTCAATTTTCAAGTAAAAATTTGCTCAAATTGGATTCATTTGGTAGATAGTAGATGAAGCAGAAACTGATAAATTGCTAAGATGAGATAGAAAATCAATTTATTCCTTAGGAGATTTGAGATAATTTTACTAAAATTTAGCTTATAAAGTATATCTTGAGAAAAAATCCGACACAAAAATTCTCAAAGTCTTAAATTATGCGTAATTCATTAGAAAAAATTGTTATCATTTGATATATTAGGTACTTTATATGAAAGATCAAATGTTTTGAGGATAATTTTTGAGAAGCAAACCCAACTCGACATCTTTTGGAAGAAGATACATAAAGCATAAATCGAAAACTTGCTTTCAAGATCTACTTTTCCTTGCTACATGCATACACAATACTACATAGAATGTACAACACTATATACAATACATTACTACATTTTTACTACATAAAGTTTTTTTCTTAAAAAATTTCGGAAAGTTACACAATTATTCCAGTTTGCACCTTGATTTGCTTTGCTAAATCAACTTTTTGAGACTCGCTCTTTCAGAAGTTTTTATATTGTAGATGTTGGGAACTAGGTTCTCTTGCGTATTTCCGGAGATTTTCATATTATAACTAATAGAGCTGCTCCTAATTTGTTCTTAGATCATAAAAATACATCTTTATATTCTCATTTTCTACATATATTTTTGAATGCTATAACTAGCACCAATTCTTTCTCATTTGGATATTTTTGAGAAAATTTCCGTCATGAATTAAGAAAAAAAGCGAGTCAATAACTATTTTGCAGGAAAAGTGATAGTTATTGATCCCAAAATGTGTATTTTTGCTTAAATAGTTTGTGATAGCAATTGAACAGGGGAACCGTGAGGAAGATATTAACATTTTTTATTGTAATAATCATACGGTATCAGTTCTAATTTCATCTCTGCCAGCAAATTGTTCGTTCAATTGATACTATTTTCCTCCTAAATTCTCCTGTTTTGACTAAATTTTCTAGTAAAGTGTGTTCAATAGCGAAAACATGTAATAAACAGAAAGCAAGAATAACTTTAAAACATGGAAAAACTCTACGGAAAATCTTGAAAGTTATGTTGCAGAAGCAACAGAGAGATAATCATCAGTTATGAAGAAGTTTTTGTTGAATTTGAGCCAATATCGAATAAATGTTTGAGAAAAATTTATCCTATTATAAACAATTTTAGCAATAAACTGTTCATTTTTTATCAATAATCTGAAATTTCTAATTTTTAACATAAAAAATTTCTCACAAGTTGTAATTTTTGTACAAATTTGGGTAATTCAATGAGAAAAAAATGAGGAGGAGTTGAATCATCGAGTTTGATTTAGAAATTTCATAGAATATGGCCCTTAATGTTCATTTGAATTGAGATTCCTGAAAATAATCCCTGAACTGGAAAAAAAACAAACAGTTAAAAACCAAAATAAAA